GGAAGCCGTGAGGCACATTGTGTTGACAAAGAATTATGCTGAGCTAATTGATGAAGCGTGCAAGAGTGATGAGACAACGAGAGTCACAGAAAAACACAGGAAGGCCCTGAAAAGAGAGCTTGATGAGATCAAGAAGAGGAAAGCTGAGGAAGCCTTACACAGGTTCCGCCGCACATCAAGTGTGCCTTCGTCCACGGGGCCATCATCTGAAAACTTGGAGATAGGATCTGGAACAGCAAGCACACAAACCCAGGTCAGGAACCCACCCCGTTCCATCGCAAAGGGTCGTCCAAGAGAGGTAAGGTACAAATCGGGATTGGAGATTCAAGCAAAACACAAGAAAACGAAGAAAGGGACGGGCAATCCATAAGCAAAAATTGGGGCGTTGTGACATGGTCCTTGTGGACATTTCGTTTTGTACCCCTAGATGTTGTGATTTTTTTTAATTGGGAGAATGACTTTTGAGGGGCGTCAGAAGTTGAAGGAGAATACATTGAATGGATAAATGTAGTTGCCATGCTATTTTATAGTAAATTTGCCATGCTATTTTATACTAAATTTGCCATGCTATTTTGTACTAAATTTGCCATGTTAGTTGTACTGGATCTGCCATGTTAATTGTACTGGTTCTGTCGTGTTGTTTGTACTGAATCTGCCATGTTAGCTGTACTGAAAAATATGCCATTGTATTTTAAATGTAGTATAAAATAGCATGTAGTGTAAAAATATGCCATCTTAGCTATACTAAATTGGGAGAATGACTCTTGAGGGGCGTCAGAAGTTGAAGGAGAATACATTGAATGGATAAATGTAGTTGCCATGTTATGGACACTTAATCTGCCATGCTATTTTATACTAAATTTGCCATGCTATTTTATACTAAATTTGCCATGCTATTTTATACTAAATTTGCCATGCTATTTTATACTAAATTTGCCATGTTAGTTGTACTAGATCTGCCATGTTAATTGTACTGGATCTGCCGTGTTGTTTGTACTGAATCTGCCATGTTAGATGTACTGGAAAATATGCCATGGTATTTGTAATGACTCTGCATCACATATATTTCCATGATAATTCAACGCGGTTTAGTGACACATAGTGTGTTGTGTGCAATGTATGGGAAACAAAGTTGAAAAAAAGCGGAACGTGCATCAACCACAGGAAAGGTTGGGGCTACATGATCAACCTACCATGCTAGCCGGTGCAATTAGCGATGAAAAAGAAGAAGCAAAACAACCAAATGAAAAACGACGAGGACTTTCACTAACCATGTCTGATGAACTACATTTGCCATGTTTTAAAATATCGTAGATGCATTCGAAATAGCAAAACTGGTGCTACAAACGATGAAACCATAGTAGTAATGATAAACATAAAACATATCTGCTGTCACGCCTAAAAAAGGTTCACATCCACACATATATTACAGAACCTATTCAAATGTCGCTCACACACCACCACTACGTAGTAGGCTACGCGGGGTTGTCATCATAACATAGCACACGAACATAGTTTTTGACAAAGAAACAAAAGAGATAGTACCTTACATTCCTCGGCAACAGAATGTAAGGTATGCTTCTGGTGTGTAACTCCATGTGATCACTTGTACTTCTTGATGACTTTCTTGACAGCGTCCTCCACGAACTCACATGCTCTGGACCGCTTGTTGAAATCTTCATTCATCAACCAGTTCCATGTGTAGATTTTCCGGAGCTCAACGACCGTTGCAGCTGTGACAGCGGGGACAAGTCTACCTTCCCACTTTGCAAAGTATTCCAACGTGTGAAAGCCAAAGTCCATTCTGTACAAGAAAAAGAGTCAGGTGAACTCACAAAAAAAGAGGACATACATAGCAGTGATAAACTTCAATTCAGGTGTAACAAACAACAGAGGGGTGGGATTGATGTAAATGGCACATGAAGGAAGGGGGGTAGAAAATTACGTGTTCCCTTGATTCGTGGTCGCCACGTACTCAATCGGGAAATGTCTGATCTAGACCTTTGAGTGTTCGTAGTGACGGTTCCATGTCTCTTTGACGTTGTTGATGAAGAATTCAGCATGCGAAGTGAGGTCTGCCTCAGCTGCCGACCGCATTGAATCAAGCACCTCAAAGCGTTGGTTCTTCAGGTCAAGACAAATCACATAGTGGTGACCACACTTGTCGTGTGGGTCGTGTGGTGCAAGCTCTTGGAACATGGGGAACATGACTTGCATGTAAAAGTGAAGGAAATGAGAAGCAGAGTTCACATGAAGAACATCAGGGGACAAAAATGTAGAATCACGTAGAATGTTTTAGTTATGGTTGGGGTAGTTGAAAGAAAGTTGTCGTCCATGTATGAACAAAATTTTCCGTGTATTTTACTTTGAAGTTGCCACATAGTTTGCACGGGATGGAAAAATCAAAAAGTCAGTTTGCACGGCAGCTGATGCCACATGAAACATCTGCCACATAAACAGGGTGCAGATGATGGCAAAAAACCATACCATGTGGAAAAAAAGTGCAACCGGGGGAGGAGAACTCACATATTTCTTCAGTGTGAGCTTGAATTCACCGTGTTGGGCGAAATTCTTCCTCAGGATTTTGTGGTGGAAGTCACCATCCCATATTTTGCAGGTCACACTATAATGCATGATTGTTTTGTCGGCAGAAATATCCATATGATTGTTGATGTAGTCAATCCCGCATGCAGCTACATTCGTCGACATTTTACCATTTGGCCTCACGGACTTGGCAAGATCACCCAGGTCGACATACGTCGCTCCGCATTGAATGACCTTGGTTCTGTCCAAACATGAGCTGTATGAAAATGATGTAACACGAACGAATCATGCCTACTAAGTAAAATAATAAAAAAGGACTAAAACGTAAGTGGATCATGTATAGAAAGTACGAAGAAGATGAATGATAAAAACAGAGCAAAGCAAAACGAGAGATTATGTGGTGTGGTCATTTACGCTTTCAGCTCCTTCATGTGCTTGTTGCTGGCCCTTGCATTTCCAAACCGCTTGACAATATCGTACAGCTGGTTCTGTTCCTTTGTGGCCCTGCATTGGGGCTCGTAGTCTTCCGCGGGAGGTGGGTGAACTACCCTCTGCTGCCTCACAGAACCAGGGGTGGCACTCCTAATGGTATCCTCAGATACCGTATTTGCAGGCACGTTGGAACTTGATTGCCCTTACCCTCATGAGGACCTCCTCTGCAGTGCTGCCTCCTCGATCCTGCGGTAAGCTTCATTAAGTGACGGTGAAATCTCCTCAGGGGTGGCTGCAAGGATCAAAAAAGTGGATTAGGATACCTAGAAATCAAAAAACAGTTGGATTGTGAGAAAGATAGGGTGCATGATGTGAAATGTAGGTACAAAAAGTGGGGAGTTGCCATGTGTGGTGCCACTACAGATGCCATGCCACAGCAACTACAGTTGCCACGTAGTTTGCACTATAGTTGCCATGTCACAGCAACTACAGTTGCCATGTTGTGTCAACTCCACTTGTCGTGTGCTTGCCGTATGGAAAAAAAGCAGCGTGGAAACAACAAATGCAGGTGACATGGTGCGGCAAATCCAGTTGCCATGTATATTGCACTGTATTTGCCATATGACAACAACTACAGTTGCCATGTGGTTGCCCAATAAAAAAAAGTAGCATGCCAGCAAAAAAAATGTAGGTGACATGGTGCATCAAATCCAGTTGCCATGTCATCACATATCAGTTGCCATAACAAGTGAGAACCCCCAAAAAATATGATTGGGAGAAAAGTCAAACTACAAAGATGTATACAAGAAAATGACAAAAGCACATGATAAATGTACCTTGGACGATCGGCTCTGCGAACTTGACAGCCTTCCTGCCCTCAACCATTGGTTGTGCCATCATTGCGGGCACGCCTCCAGGAAAAGCAAAGGCAACTGTCATAGGATCTTGAGCCACTTGTTGATCTTGACTGACGCCAATGCTGAAGCTCGGTGGGGTGAAGGCCATTGGGTGCCTCTCATGCCTACTGGCCGGACCGCGAACAACTTGCGGGGCAGAATCCAATAGTGAAAGATCAACAAACATATCTTCTGGATCAGCCGCTGCAGAATCATCAGGCTTGCCAATAGGGCGGGGCGTGCTGTCAGTGGTGACGGGCGTAGATTTGTTGACAATCCTCTTGTTGGGGCTGTAGGGGACACCGATGTTGATTGGGAGTTTGGAAGTGCGCAGATTTAAGCTGGGGATTTCCACTGCGGGTAAAGGCGCAGTATGCTCCGGACGTTCACCTTCATCACTCGTGCCCGGCTTGGCACCTGCATCAGTTGTACTCTGGTCTTCTGGTTTCTCCATAACATTGCTTTTGGCGGTTGGCGGGAATAGTGTGGACGCAGGGACGTAACCAGACTCATCTCTGCTGCTCCTAGCTGCAGCTAGTGCGTTGGATAAGACTGTTGATTGCTTGCAGGGGCTACGACGCCTAGGTGGAAGACCAGCACGCGGAACAGTGGCCTGAGCAATATCTGCACCACTAGGAGCTGGAGCTGTTGTGCCAAGACTCTCACCTGCAGATGGCATATCATTATGAACTACCGCCTCGGCAATTTCTGTAGTGGGCACATGAGTGCCAGCACGCACGCGCTTGGAATCAGTGTCAGATGAGCGGGAATCTTCCTTGCTTAGGTTGGTCTCGGGGGCATCCACTTCAACACTTCCTGAAGGGGTGGCGTGGCTCACAGCAGCATCCTTCATTGCCAGCAGAGTGGGCAATATTTCAGCGGTCCTGGCAGATACCGAGTCGTCACTCCCCGATGTACGGAGGCTCGTTGTTCTAGCCAGCACATCTGCAGCAGGCGGAGATGGTCAGCCACTTGCATCAGAGTTAGTGGGAACAGTAGGCGGTGCAGCAACAGTTTTGTCGCCTGGCGCCTCATGAACATCTGAGTTGCCACCTGTTGACAACTTTGAATGAAGACGTTCGAGTGGGTCCCTAATGGTATGCTTGACCGCGCGTGCAGTAGTCTTCTTCACCCTGCAAAAAGGGAAAGCACATGGAAAAGGTGTTAAAAATGAACAAAGAATATTTTGCCATGGTAGAAATCTAAAAAATGAAAAAATAAGTGGAAAAGCTGGTAGTTGCCATGTAAGGGGAATATGAGTTGCCATGTGACATAGTTAGCAGTTACCATGCAAATCCAGCAACAGTTGCCATGTTGGCCAACTTGAAGAATGCTAAAAATGTCTTATCTGCCAGTAATGCAATTTCAAAACTAGGTATGGGATGAGCACACAAGCCAATGGAAAAGATGGCAGTTGCCATGTAGGTACAGTAAAGAGTAGCCATTTGGCCTAGATAGCAGTTGCAATGTAAAAACAAGTAGTAGTTGCCATGCACTCATAAAAGGGAAGGAAAATCATTTTGAAAAACAGCAGTTGCCATATGGGGATGATGACAGAAGCCCATGTGACAAGCTAAACGGATGCACTGAAAAATCAAAAAATATAGCACCATGTCAATGAAAGCGCATGGAAAACCTACTTCTTGGCTGGCTTTCTCAGGTCTGGCAACACGACAGGATCCCCGGTGTTGGACATCGTCGTACGAGGAGATGACCTGGTGGAATGGGTGTCACCAACAATGGGGCCACCTTTGTTCAACCGAGCAGAAGCACGGGTTGGCGTTGGTGCCTATTTCTTCGTAACTGCTCGTCCACCAGTTGTCGCCTCCCTGCACGTGTAAGTTGGAGGAAAAAAAGGTGGCAATTGTCAGATAGCAAACTCGTTGCCGCGCTTAGTAAAATCAAGTGACAAAAGGGATCATTCTGTTCCAAAAAATATGGACAAAGCAAAAAACTAAAATTAAAGTCAAACCTCCTCCTGGCAGTTACGGGATCGGTACTAGACCTCTTGCCAGGAGAACCCTGCCCAACATCCTCTGGAGCCCTCCCCCTCTTTGATGGCAACACCCCCTTGCCTCTTGCAGCCGTATGTCCTCTGACTTTCTCCGGTGGGGGGACATATGGTGCATCCTTCCCCTTGTTAGCACCTGCACGAACTTCAGCATCTTCATCATCATCAGTTTCCTCTTCCGCGTTCTCTGTGTCATCGTTGTCATCCTTGCTGATACCAGCGTCTCCACCTAGTTCATCTTGTGTGTCAGCAAGCTCTTGGGAACTGTTGTAGTCGTACCGGCCACGGCAACCAGTTGGCCGATGTGTCCGTTCGGGGACAAGCAAAGTGAACTGCCTCGCAACCGCGTCGCTGTCAGAGCCACTAAGAGACGTCCACCCCTCAACCAACTTCCCGAGCAAGGCGGTCATTCCAGATGCAAACTGCCCAATTAGATGCTCAACAGGTGCCCTCGCCTGTGCACTCAACAAAGAAGGATAAATAACCACCACATAATACAGTCACTTGCGCGACATCAAGAATAATCCAAGGCAACAAATAGATGTAGATCTTTTAATTACCTCAATAGGGCAAGACGGAGTTGAGTGCACGTCCATCCACTTTCCAAAGTTTTGAGGCCCCCCAAACACGTTGTAGTCTATAGCATGCTTGGCCATCAGCTATAAAAAAACAAAAAAAAACAGCTAGGATGTAAGAGAGAGAATGTAAGTTTCAGCACAAATGAAAGAGTTGCCATGTGGAGTGAGACATGGATACAATACGCAGAAAGCCATGGATAACAAAGGTATTCATCTCTTATGAACAACATACGGTTGCCTCATGTCAAATTTGTAAGCATGCCGTGTGGAGAAAGAAACTAGAACTAACCTGCAGTTTTCCATATTTGGTATCAGTTACCCTGTCTGTGGCAAGCACAGCCTTGACAGCGTTGATAGTCCATGCACAAACAGCAAACTTGTGTGTACGCGGCAGGCCTCCTGTCCCAGTGAAATCCATGGTGGACAGATCAAGACAGTCGATGTACATGAGCTGATGTACAACAATTTTAAAAAGAAAGAAATATCAGTCGCCATATTGTCATTATGCTAATATGTATGTGCTAATTACCATATGTATGTGCTAATTGCCATCATAGGGTAATGGTAGTTGCCATATTGTCATGATGGCAGTTGCCATCATAATATGATGGCAGTTGCCATATTGTCATTATGTCAGTTGCCATATTGTCATTATAGTAGTTGCCATCTTGTTATGATCAGATTGCCATGCATGAATGAAAGGGTGTTCAAAAAGAGTGTTCACATATAAGACTGGTAAAAAAATACCATTAAATGCAGTCGATAACCCTTTTGGTACATCTTGCTTGAGAATGCATCGTGCAGGAAGTCGGTTATGAACTTACACCAGTTCATGTTCTTCACATCTTTCAGTTTTGCCTGCACCGCACAAGATTTTCAGGGCAACGAGTTGCCGCATCAGAATTCGAATGAAAAAAAACATCAAAAAGCACCGGCAGTGACTAGGTTTATACATGACATTGGATCCAAATAGATTGTAGGAAAATAAAGTAGTAAGGATGGACCATTCACCAGGATGGGGAAGCATTTGTTGCTTGGCCGAAGAGAAGTGGTCGGCGCGAAAACAGCTGAGATGAGATACATGAGTAGCTTCATCTTAAAAACATCTCCGTGGGTCGTCATTGCCTGCAGTGAATCTGCCAATACAAACGTGTTCGGCATGGATTCCAACCCAAGAAACAAACGGGGGAACAACACTTCCTCGATATCGTTATTGACCTCATACGGGACTTTCATCTGTCCACGAGGCACACCCAAAGTGCAGAACATGGATTCCTCGTTCAACGGTAGTCTTCCACGTCCCGGAATCACAAACTCCCTGGAGGCGGGGTCGTAAATCTCACCAAGCCAGTCGCATACAGGGTTAACAAGATTCGTGCACCGGGCGTTCATCAGAGCCTGCATACCCATCTCAGCAGCAGCTCCCTTCTGATCATCGGTAAATATGTCAGTCAGCGTAGTCAGTCGTTCTTGGGAGGCTCTGTTGCGAACACGTTTCTTCTTCTGCAAAAAACAGACGAAAAGGGATCAGTTGTTGTCATGTTTTGCACTGTCATGAAATTTTAGTTCATGACAGACGACTGCAAAGCTCGAGGTGGCATCCAGAAACATAAGCAGTAGGAGGGGGTGTGTGTGGACAGTTACCTCATCACCCTCTTTTCTCCGTCCAGTTGCCCGATTATGCTGTGGTGGATCCATGAAATCATCGTCATCATTTTGATAATCGCCACGAGCCATTCTGCTGAGATAGGAACAGACCAAATTGTCATGGTGGAAACGAAAATGCAAGAATTAAGCAGTTGCCACCTAACAGAAAATGTCAACTAGTGAACACACACGCACCCCTCCTGTGATTGTCGAAAACATAAACGTGGCAAGTAAGCACATTGGTTGCATTTTCAAAAAAAAAGTGTACAGATCGTAAATGCACTTGAAAACAAAAATGTTGAAGTTGCCATGTTACCCCAAGATAGTACAATAGATAGTCTTAAAATCCTCCACATCACAAAAACTAAGATGTGGCAGCTCACACCCTGTCCTAAAAATACACCAATGAAATGCCATTTGTTCAGTGGCAAAAATGTGCTAGGGTTAAATTGCCATGTTAAAATGCAACACGTAATACAAAAAAGCGATGAAAAACATCTAATCAAAGAACCTGGAAATTGCCATAGTGTGTTCAGATATCACAAGTCATTGTGGCAAAAACACAAAAGTTGCGTCTGCAGTAGAATGAATTTGCCGCATTGTACTGACTGTAACATGGCAACAGACATGATGTGGTCAGATAGAAAATTGCCACATGGAAAGCATATGTATGGCATCTGATACAATTGATATGCAAAATTGGTTGCCATGTTATGCAGCCAATTTGCCACATTGTCTTGTCTACGGTATGGCAACAGACACAGTGTGTTCACATTCTATTTGCCATAAGAATATACTATCCATGTGTCAACAGACACAGTTGATGTGCACATTAGTTGCCGTCCAGTGCAGTTGGTTGCTGAAACTGCATTGACTACTGATTTACTACACTTTACCATTCATACAATGTGGCAACTATCACAAATCATTCAGGAAAATTAGTTGCCACAATGAAACAGCATGTTTGTGGCTGCTATCACAGTAATTCAGCAAATTAGTTGCCACATGGAAGAGCGTGTGTGTGGCAACTATCACATTCATTCAATAATTTGGTTGCCACATGGGAAAGCTTGATTGTGGCAACTATCACAGTCATTTCAGTAAGTTAGTTGCCGCATGGGAAAGCACGTTTGTGGCAGTTATCGCATTCATTCAGGAAGTTAGTTGCCATACAGTCATGATAGTTAATCAAACTACCACGTTTACCTCATACTGCAGTTTCAAAAACAACTAACTAGATCTAGGGTTCAATGGCAACTACAGTGACTTCAGATTCAACCTCAAAGTTCTCCCCTGAACTAATTGCAAACACCAATTCGAACCAATGCGCAACTAACAAACCGGGAGACACCTGCCCAATCCCAAGGCACAACTAGTGTGTGTCTCTGGACAGGCATAACCACCCCGACGAGGCCGCCACCCCGGCGTCCACAAAACTGCCCAGTGCCACCGAAAATGGCTAGCGCACAGGACTCCGCCACCGGCGGGAACACCGACGCATCGCCAAATCGCCTGAATCTCTACGAATCTTGAGAGAGGAATCGAACAGGGAGGGAAGGGGGAAAATGCAGGAAGGGAATGTGAGAGTTGGAGCGAGCATTACCTTCAATCCGCAGGCGCTCCGGCGAAGCCGCTCCGTTCCGCCGAGCACCACCGACGGCCGCGAACACCGTCGATTCTTCCGCCTCCGCCGTCGCCTTCTCCCCTCGCCTTCTCCTCCAATGGTTTGAAAAGTGAAGTGGGTTGTGCCAGCAAATGCGGGGGTGAATAAATGGCACCATGAGGGAGTGGGGGGAGAGGTGCGCGACGTGTTTGACGGCAACCGCGTTCATCGTGTGGCGTGCGGGCGCATAGCAGTTCCACCGCACGCCCCCGAGTGGCAACCGCTAACCGCGGGAGGGCAACCAACGTGCGGGCGACCTGTCTCGCACACCGCACACGCGCCTCGTCCTACGTGGCGCAGAAAAACGACCGGATTGTGCCAAGATTCGTGCACAGAGTACCCAACGGTGATCGTTGTGTGCGTTCGAGATGGTGAACGCCCACACGTGTGGGCGTTAACATTTCCGTTTTTTCTTTTCTTTGAGACACAGAAAAAAAATAGTTTGCGTGTAATTCAGGGAGTTCTATCCAGACCTGGCGAAATGGGCCGGCACGACCCAGCACGGTCTGCCCCCATTAAACGTGTCTGCACGGCATGGCCCACGGCGGCCCATTTATAAACGTGCTGTGCTCACTTCAAGGTCCACGCATGGCGTCCATCTTCACTAATCTATTTCTCTTACAGCTAAAAAAACAATTTCAATTGACATGCAGGCTATCCACATCATCAATCAACATGCAACCATCTACCTAAGCAAACCTGCCACCACGAAAAAAAATTATATGTGCTCGCCTTAAGCCGCGTCATCTCTATTTCTTCTATTAGGTTGTGTGGCATGCACCCACTGTACTGGAATACCAAACGAGGGCCCCTCCACAATCCATCCACCGTATGGGAAGACCAAATGAGGCCCAGTTCGGTTTCCTAGTTGCCCATGCTCATGTATACTTCTCCATATGAATCATGATCAAATCTTCTGCCAACATGAAATCCCTATCACAAGACGTGAAAAGCAGCGGTGACGGGCAAGCAGCTGGTAGCAGCGCACCGATGCTCATCAACTTGAGGGATAGGTTTGGGAGGCAATCAACCATTCAGATGTAGCTGGGGTTCGGTGTGCCACACGCTGGTGATCGAATGTACACTGAACTCTCCGGCTAGACCAAGGAAGGTGTGACGTCCCCGATTCAATCGTACACTAATCATGCACGCAAATGTGTACGATCAAGATTAGTGACTCACGGGAAGATATCACAACACAACTCTAAAAGTAAGATAAGTCATACGAGCATCATATTACAAGCCAGGGGCCTCGAGCGCTCGAACATAAACGAGTCAGCGGAAGCAACAATATCTGAGTACAGACATAAGTTAAACAAGTTGCCATAAGATGGCTAGCATAAATTGGGATATAGATCGAAAGAGGCGCAGGCCTCCTGCCTGGAATCCTCCTAAACTACTCCTGGTCGTCGTCAGCGGCCTGCACATAGTAGGCACCCCCAGTGTAGTAGGAGTCGTCGTCGACGGTGGCGTCTGAATCGTGGGCTCCAACGTCTAGTTGCAGCATCCGAGAAGAAAAGGAAAGAGGGGGAAAAGAGGGAGCAAAGCAACGGTGAGTACTCATCCAAAGTACTCCTGAGCAAGGATCTACACTACATATGCATGTGTATATGTGTAAAGAGGCAATATCGGTGGACTGAACTGTAGAATGCCATAATAAGAGGGGGATAGCTAGTCCTATCGATGACTATGCTTCTGGCAGCCTCCATCTTGCAGCATGTAGAAGAGAGTAGATTGAAGTCCTCCAAGTAGCATCGCATAGCATAATCCTACCCGGCGATCCTCCCCTCGTCGCCCTGTGGAAAAGCGATCACCAGGTTGTCTCTGGAACTTGTTTGGGTGTGTTTTATTAAGTATCCAGTTCTAGTTGTCATAAGGTCAAGGAACAACTCCGGGTTGTCCTTTTACCGAGGGACACGGCTATTCGAATAGATAAACTTCCCTGCAGGGGTGCACCACATAATCTAACACGCTCGATCCCCTTTGGTCGGACACACTTTCCTGGGTCATGCCCGGCCTCGGAAGATCAACATGTCGCAGCCCTACCAAGGCACAACAGAGAGGTCAGCACGCCGGTCTAAATCCTATGCGCAAGAGTCTGGGCCCATCGCCCATTGCACACCTGCACGTTGCGTACGCGGCCGGTGAGCAGACCTAGAAACCTCCATTACAAATGAAGTTGTGTTACACGGTCCAACCCGGCGCGCGCCGCTCAATTGCTGACATCAAGAAGGCTTCGGCTGATACCACGACGTCGAGTGCCCATAACTGTTCCCACGTAGTTGGTTAGTGCGTATAGGCCAGTGGCCAGACTTAGATCAAATACCAAGATCTCGTTAAGCATGTTATTTTGAAGTAACCGCGGACGCCGACCAGGGCCAGGCCCACCTGTCTCCTAGGTGGTCACAACCTGCCCTGTCGCTCCGCCACAAAGTAACAGTCGAGGGCCGTCGGGAACCCAGGCCCACCTCTACCGGGATGGAGCCACCTGGCCTTTCAGCCCCCATATCCGAATCACTTGTGGGTACTCAATGAGCCGATCCGACTTTGGTCACCATCTGTATAGTATGTATATATGTATAGTATATACCCATGATCACCTCCAGAGTGATGACGGCCCGATAGTATAGCAAGGCAGACTGACAAGAATGTAGGGCCACTGATGATAAACTAGCATCCTATACTAAGCATTTAGGATTGCAGGTAAGGTATCAACATATGTAGCAACAATGACAGGCTATGCAACATGATAGGATTAATCAAAAACATTAACAGGCTATACTACTCTAATGCAAGCAGTAGACGGTAGAATAGGTGATATCTGGTGATCAAGGGGGAGGGGGGCTTGCCTGGTTGCTCTGGCGAGAAGGAGGGGTCGCCAACTCCGTAGTCGAACAGGGCAGCAGCAGCGTCGGTCTAGTAGTCTACTAGAGAGAAGAGGGGGAAGAAACAATAAATACAATGCAAACATAAGCATGACGATGCATGACATGACAATGAATGGTGCTAGGTGTGCCCTAACGCGGCAGTAGGTGGTACCGGCGAAGGGGGGGACATCCGGGAAGTATCCCCAGTGTTTCGCGTTTTCGGACAGATGAACCGGAGGTGAAATGTTGCAGGTTCGCTATGCTAGGGACGCGTGGCTGAGGAACGGGCTACGTATTCGGATTCGTCTCGTTGTTCTGAGCAACTTTCATGTACAAAGTATTTTCATCCGAGCTACAGTTTATTCTATATTCATTTATAAAGATTTAATTCATTTTTGAATTAACAGAATTAATTAAACTAGAAAATGTAAATATGACGCCAGCATGATGTCATCAGTCAATCGTCTCTTGACTGGATCAACACACGCATGGGTCCCGTTCGTCAATGTCACAGATTGGCTAAAACAGAGTTAATTAGTTTTAACTAAGTGATTAGGTTA